GAAGCATGCCACTCTGTCTGAAGCATGCCACTCTGTCTGAAGCATGCCACTCTGTCTGAAGCATGCCACTCTGTCTGAAGCATGCCACTCTGTCTGAAGCATGCCACTCTGTCTGAAGCATGCCATTCTGTCTGAAGCATGCCACTCTGTCTGAAGCATGCCACTCTGTCTGAAGCATGCCACTCTGTCTGAAGCATGCCACTCTGTCTGAAGCATGCCATTCTGTCTGAAGCATGCCACTCTGTCTGAAGCATGCCACTCTGTCTGAAGCATGCCACTCTGTCTGAAGCATGCCACTCTGTCTGAAGCATGCCACTCTGTCTGAAGCATGCCACTCTGTCTGAAGCATGCCACTCTGTCTGAAGCATGCCACTCTGTCTGAAGCATGCCACTCTGTCTGAAGCATGCCATTCTGTCTGAAGCATGCCACTCTGTCTTCACATTCCTCATCATGCTTTCTGAGTCAGTTATAATTGCAATGTGCGTGTATCGTGTTCCCTAACCAGTGGAAAGCTGCAGTGACAGCCTCCACGTCAATTCTTAAGCTGGATGTTGCGGTATCATATGCTAGACTCTCCTACACCAAACCTGGACCATTAGCTTGTGCAGAAAAAAAAAACACAAGTTACTTCTTTTTCCTGTTGACACTGCTCAATCTGAAAAAAAAAAAAAAAACATTACATTACCCGAGTAAACATTATAAATGCTCAAATTTCACTTCATTGGCACCTGCTGCCCACTCTCTACACTCACGGTTCAGTGTTACTATGACTACATAAGTTTAACTATTCCTCAGGCAATCTGACCCTCTCCTCTCCTCACCTAATGTATGCAAACCTGTCTGATCGTTTCCCCCAGCTGAGCCATCCATGAATTCCCTCTTAGCCGCAGACCCTTACCTGCACCCAGTGCTTCGTACAAATGGTGATCTGTATCTGCAACTAGTGTGAGGTATGATTTCGCCTGCAGCAGCTAGAGCCTACCTGCAACAGTCGGTTAACCAAGGACGCATCATCTCCTTATTCACTGAAATTAGTTCTTTTTTTCCCCAAGGCTCACATTAAATGTTTCAGTCATATTAAACTACCGCTTTTCTGCACAGGAACCAGTTAATGAATTTTTCAGTTTATTAACAAATTTTTCATTAGGGTTTGCCGTTCCTCATGTTTCCACTACATACTCATTTTATATTATTATTATCATTTCAAGTTAAAAAAAAAAAAAAAAATTAACACAGGTTGTAAAATTCACCTTTTTGCGGCTGAAGCCCTTAAATTGTTGTTTCAGTCTGATGTTTTCAATTCTGATAAAAAAAATTCGGAGTCATTCGGACTGTGAATTTACACCAGCGGCAGCTGAGCCATCAGTAGTTAGAGCATCTAGCAGGGGTTTGGTGACTTAAATACTGGATGATCCATTTCTTCTTCTTCTACTTCTTTCGTTCGCCTGAAATAAGTTGTCTATATCAGCAATTTTGTCTCTTGTATAAATTTCACTGTTGTTGTTAATTCATTAAATGGTCCATAGAGTTTACGTTCCACTGTTGTTCTTTCTGGCCAAAAGGTTTGCCCTTATGTGTCAAATTCGGTGCAGTCCTGGAGTACATGCTCTGCTGTCTGGTGCACCTTTCCACATGTGCAAATGGCTGATACGCCTATCTTTAATTTTTTGTACATGTGGTTACGTAATCGGTTGTGCCCTGTTCTGAGGCGGAGGATAATGACTTGTTCTGACCTGTCCATGATAAAATAGTCGTCTTGTGCTGGGGCTGGTGGTTTCCTGATTGATTTAATGATTCTTTTCTTTTGGTGGTATGTGACTCGTACATCCGGCTGCACTTTTGTCGCACATTCTCCTGCCAGTTGATCAGCTTTCTTATTTCCAGGCACTCCACAATGTGATGGTATCCACTGCACTACAATTTTCGCTGAAGGCTGAGTTGTGTCAGCAGTGTTTGCAATTCTGGTAGTTTCCTAGACTGGAGTGCTTTCAAGTACTGATTTTGCATCTGTCAGCATTACCACATACTGTGAGCCAAGATTGGTACAGTATTTAGCAGTTTCTCTGTTGCTATCTTGATTGCCTGAGTTTCTGCATCATAGTTATGGCAGTACTTTCCGGTTTGTAAGCTGGTCTTATCCCTAGTACCGTCTGGGAATTCGATGTACACTGCAGCCCCACCATTTCTAACTGCACTTTCTGCGGACCCATCTGTATATATTCTGACCCATTGTTCTTGGGAGTATTCTTCATAAATATAACTGAGGGTGGCCATTCTGCGTTGTACACTATCTTTTTCTTTCTTGTCAAATATTCCTTTCACATTTGTCTGGATTTGTACTGTTAGGTTGCATTTTTCTCTCCATGGGGTTTGTTCTGGAATACTGTTAAGTGGATAACCAATTTCGGGAAGGTCAGGAGTTTGTCTACATATTCTTTTTGCTTGGTGTATAAAGCTGCTTCTTTTTAACCGTCCCAAAGCTAGGTTCTAAAGTCTATTTTTCATGGGGTGATCTAACATACTGATGAACTTTTCAGCTTGTATTAGCAACTTTGAATCTCTGCGTTCTCTCAGTGCCTGTGTTTTCCCAGCTTTCTCCATTTATAATATGGGGGTTGATTTCATCCCTCCTGTGATGACTCTGAGGGCTTGATTTTGCACTTTGTCCAACTCCTTTAATGTGGTACTAGATGCTGAACACCATGCAGTTGACCGATATTCCAAGTGTGGTTGTATGCTTTGCTTGTATACTTTATTGAGTATTTTCCCACTGGCTCCCCACGTGGCTCCACTTAGTTTTCTTAGTATGACTGTCTTCCTCCTGACTTTGGTTGCTGCCTTGTTGATATGTTTTCTCCATGTCAACCTGTCGTCAAATGTGACTCCGAAGTACGTGGGCTCTTTATCATCTCTTAGGGGTATCCAGTTTATTTTGATTATGCCCGCTTTTTGCTTTGGGGAGAGAGTGAATAGTGTGGTGCTACATTTGTCTGTGTTGATGCTGACACACCATCTATTCGCCCATGCCTCAAGTGCATTTGTAGCCCGCTGTAGTGTTTTTGTGGCTATCGTTGCATGTTCATTGGTGCACAACAGTACCAGGTCGTCGGCATACATTGCCATTTTGATTCCATTTGGTATTTCACCATGATCAATTTCAGTTGCGTAGGATGTGATAGTCACTCACATTTGCATCCAAAGGACTGTCTCAACCAGTATCAAATCATGGCTAAGCTACATTGAAACGACTGCTGGTACAGTCTGTTTATAACTATGGAGTAAATATTGTGTGTGTCTGCTATTTCCTTCTGTGAAATACCAGCAGTCTATGAGAACCTGATAAACTACCCAAGAAACGTATCATGACTTTTAAATTAGTTAGGAAAGTGAACACACGTTAGGTGCTATTCTCAAATTGGATATTCACTGCTCTTGTGCCTGCAAAATTATGGTAAGTGAAACATTTTGTTGTAAAATTGTATCTTTGAAACCTAACAGCTGCTGAATTCTTTTTTTCCCCTACTAACTAAAACAGCATTAAACAAAAATATATAATCGGATTCTTTTAAAAACAATTATATAGTTTTGTAAGAATGATAAATGTAGTACATCCTCAATTGCCTTATTCTTAACAGCACCTCTCTGCCATTTTTGTAGAGAGAAATTATTGCGAGCCAAGTCTGTCAAAATGTATGAGCATAAAAAAATAACAACAATGGATTGAGTTTAGCATAATAGTGAAACGTTTTATACGGCACTTTACTTATTATAAAATGCTAGTAACTTTAATGGATGGAGTCTGCATGCGGTATCTAGACAATGCGAGTCCCATAGAATGGTTGGAACTGATTAATAACTTGACAAGAAGTCAAGAAAAACTAGCAAAATACACACACACACACACACCCACCCCCACACACACACCCACCCACACACACACACACACCCACCCACGCACGCAAACACACACACGCACACACACACACACAAGCACACACACAAGCACACACACACAAGCACACACACAAGCACACGCACGCACACACGCACGCACACACGCACGCGCACACGCACGCGCACACACACACGCGCACACACACGCGCACACACACAAGTACACACACAAGCACACACACGCGCACACACACAAGTACACACACAAGCACACACACACACACACGCGCACACACACACACACGCACGCGCACACGCACGCACGCACACACACACGCACACACACACGCACACGCACACACGCACGCACGCACACACGCACGCTCGCACAAAATGTCTTTTGCAAGCATACACACACACAAAAGGTAGATGATATTACCCGAGCTTCTGAAAGCACACAGCTTAACAATGGAAACCATTTTTAAATTCTTTCCAGAGAGCATGTTTGTGATAGCTGTCCTAGGACCTCCATTATTCATCAAATGCCTACAAGATTTTTATCAAAAATACTGTTCGAAATGTTTTATATAATTTGTACAAAGATTCTTTGTCCTGTTTGGTAACTGGATACTTCTCAGTAAATGATGATGTATTATTCCCTTACTTCCTTTGAATTTGGATCATTGCGAATTTTCTCCCTATTCAGATCCAGGCTTCTAGGTCGACTTTGCTAAAAATATGTACCAAGTAAGTCCAGGAAAACAGACTAGGATGGCCATTGTTTCCATCAAATGCCGATTCTGGAATAAAATATCGGTGTAACACTAATTTGTCAGATGTGATAAAGGAATGAATTGGCTTGTTGCTTTTTAAATTTTTTTGTTAATAATCAGGTAACCCACACTATAGATATCACACATGATATGTCTATATAACTATGCACACACCTTGTTTCTTTTATAAATGCGTCTTTTTTCCCCTAGAGCATAACTGAAGTATTTATAATATTATCATGCTAATCCAGTAAAGTGCACTAAAATAATGGAACCAAAGTTGGGTAAACACTGTTTACAACATTTACGTTATCTACTGTCTTCCTTCATAGAAACTGTTTTCCTATTGAGCTGCCTCCCAACGATCCCTCGTTTCCGGGCGTGTGTCTGCATTTTATCAGGTCCCTTGCTGCGGAAGATCTCAACGGAAATCAGTTAAGTAAGATTACACTTAATGCTGTTTCTCCTCTGGGTGAACATTTTCAGTTCCGCATTAACAAATGTTTAAAGATATTAAAGACAAGCATTTGGTTCTGTTTTGGCATAAAATGAGACATCGAGGTATCTATACAAAAATGTATCAAGGGGAAATATATTGGAAAGTGAAGAAAGAGTTTTTTATACTAACATAACTAAGTTAGCTGTTGTTGCTTACGGCGAACTGTCAATCGTGTGGTCACCTCTGGTAAATGCAAAAACCTAAAACAAAGTTTTGTTTTATGAGAACTGCTGGGGTGAAGGGGGATTGGGGGGGGGGGGGGTGTGAAGACAAAGATGGAAGTAAATTTTGTTTAAATTTATTAATCTATGTTATCTACAGCGGCGAGATGTAGAAAGTTCGTAAAATACGATACGTCACCATAGAAACTCTTGAAACATGACAGAAGGGAACATAAACTATGTCTGACTTAGTAACAGAAGTAATAGCTGACACGTGACACTGTCGCAATAGAAGAATCACACCAAACGTCTTTGACGGTAAAACAAATGGGGATTGAATATCTTATTTATACCAACATGTAAGTATTCTGAACTTTAATGACGAATAAAATGCATCCGTTTGATAAACATAAATAAAAGCTGCATTAAGAGAGAAGCACAGCACCAGTCAATCACACCTTCCTGCAGTGATCGGTCACAAGCAATTCTTATTTCAACACATTTACGTGGAATAACACCATGTGAAACACTCATATGTTAGGAACTTCTGAAGTCACAATAAGAAGAGAAAAGCAATTAAATCATAGCTTCAGAAATCATGGAATCAGAGTTAAGGTTAGTTGCGTATCCTTTACAGGACCAACCTCAACAGCCAGGTGGTTTTTCTAGGCAAATTTACGTCCAGTAGTTTGCCATTGCTCTCTGGACGGTCGGCTTTCTTGATACCACTGTCGAAACCAACGCAAGGCGCATGGCCCGCAGATGGGATCGAATTCGGCATCCCGGCATTACTAAGCGTTCCCATCGACTTAGCCACAGAGCCAACGGAATCAGAGTACTATAACGATTTCGCTGAGGGTCAAAGGTCCTGATTACGACACACGACTTGGACTACTGACTGAAGTGATGAAACTAAATTCTGTAGTCGCAATCTGATAAACTAGTGATACATATTCTTACACAGAGAAGCGGCTGGTTGAACGGTTAAAACAATGGGCTCACACCGGAGACCCAGGTTTGAATCCACAGTGAGGTTGGGGGCATTTTTTTTTTCTGTCGGTGTCAAAATAAAATTCTCACCTGCTGTAATAGTGTGAATTCCTGGGGAAATCCTAGGGAGTTCCCGATTCGGGGATAAAGTCAAAGGACTAGTGAAACAAGACGAGAGTGTGAAAAGATGTCTCGAATATCCCATGGTGAGCTAAAAGGGATACAAGGAAAGCTTTAAACTTGAACGGAAGTTGATTATCCAGAGTTGGATAGGAAGTAAGTTGAAGACTGGACCTGAATGTGTGCAGTCGAATACCAGAGAACAGCTGAGAAGAATGCAGATTGTCTGATCACGTGTAATTGTGCGAGAGCAGAAATGAATGTTTACTGACTGCAAGTTTGGATTGCATACATGTCCAAGGAATGGGATGCTAGCCTGATCCAGATGTATGAAAAGTAATGGCAGAGAGAATAACAGGCTGAGATAGTTGGAAATGTTGTAAATCAGCCATGCGTAACGTCCACGAGAAAACATGTGTGCGACTGGACAGTGCGACCGCTGGAACAGCGAATAAAGAGCAATAACTGCGTGTTCGTCGTCTGGTGTGTTCCTAGCAACTTTATGTAACTAAGGACGTCAGTATAGCAGTGTGACGAGTTTAGTCAAACCCTAGACAGAGACACATTTCACCAACACAGTCAATGGCGACAGCACTAGCCACGCGGCCGTGAATGCCCCGGTTCAAAGACACCCCTGACTACACTACACAATTGGTATAATAAAGGCAATAATTATCAGTGATACATTTTGGGTGACATCATCTGATATATATATATATATATATATATATATATATATATATATGTATGTATATATATATATATAAAATACTGACACATGTTATATTGTCTGTTGGCAGAACCTAGACAACAGACTACCACGGTGACATCTTTCATTGATTGCTCTCAGGTCTACGGCTCCACACCCGAGGTTAATTCTCAAATCAGGGCACCAAGTACTTGTTGATTCAATTTGTTGATTAACACAATTCATCGATTGCTTGTTTTAATGTGCACTGCTAATAATGAATTATTACATTATTATACTTAGACTAAGATGAAAGATCTACTTAGATATCAAGAGGAAAGTCAGCACAGAACTAAAATTGAACTTTATAGGTAGACAACAAATCAAATAGTTTGGCCATGTAACAAAACTAGTAGCCAGAAAGGGCACAGGGAGCAGTATTACACAGATACAGCCGTAACAGAGCCAGAGATCGACAATGCAAAATAAAGACCGCAGAAATATCAGAGACACTGAAAAGCACTATATAGAAAGCGAACAGAAGGGCACGTTCCAGAGATCTCTTCCTATCCTGACGCCGCGAGTCATTCCAGGATTAAAGAAAAGAAGAAACAAGAATGTTTAAATTGATTATTAGCAGGTAATTTTGTTCCCCTAGGAAAACAAGGTGCCGCTTCTCATCACAACGTGTGTAAAAAGTTGCTTGTCCTCAACACATACATATATTGTGCCAACGGCTTCGGGAGTAGGAGCGCATTGAGTGGGACACTAGCCTTATCCAAGGAAGAAGATATGCAACCTGAAAACGTCATGTTATGACAGGGCAGATCAGACCTTTAGCCCTGGCTGGCAGCTGGTCTAAAAGGGGAACTCTGACAGGCCAGATAGAGCACTGCTCTTCTGATCCGGCAACTTGTGCAGCCTGTTTTGTTCCAAAAGTCCTAGTGCTACCTTTCCTTTGGAGTAAACAAGGCAGTACAAGAGAGAGAGAGAGAGAGAGAGAGAGAGAGATAGAGAGAGAGAGAAATAAAGATGCATGGGCGACATCTGGTCTCTACAATTTTTGCCCAAGCTTTGTGTTATAAACATCCTCTCTGGTTAATTAATGATGGATAGAAGATGTCGAGGCCGACTTCTACTGTCATGTACAGATGTGTGCAAGCGGGACACGAATGATACAGGTACTGAGGTGGACTCGTGGGAACAACATGACATGGACTGTGTTTTGTGGAGGGGGTCACATCAGGAAATGAATGAGAGTGGAGAAAGAAATGACCACAAAACGATGAGAGCTGAGCATCTGAGAAAACTAAACACAAATGTTGATAACAATGTTTCTAAAATTCCGTTTTATAATTCTGGAAGACTTTTCCTAACGCGGACGGGTTTTGCTAGACTCACTCGCCATCGCAATAGGCTGTGAGTTCCATGCCTTCTCATAGCGCAACATAACATTATTGTTTGGAAAAACATAAATGTGGCAATTATAATCCTCACCACATAGTGTCTGTTACGGTGGCGCTGGTAGATGCCAAAACAAACATACCAATACTGGGTACAGCTGCGCACTGCCAGAAAGAAAGCACTGACTTCAAGTAGCCTCAACTTCATTATTATGGTTCTCAAATGCAATTGCAACAATAAAGTGCTCACGAAGGGTTGTTTCTGTGGGTGAATGGTTGTAAATATATGAGAAGTGATATGCTCAGAAGATGTTTTAAATACTCATTAAGAGGATAATAGGCGCAGTGAAAAGAGCCCGAATAAATTAGTTTCAAAGAAGCAACACTCTGTGCTGTATGTTAAGATGTCTAGCCAGATTTTTTTAGAATGCTCGAACCAAATGTAATATATATATTTACACACCGGCCGTTGTTTAACACACGTGTTATAGCTAATCATGCATTGTACGTTGCTTGAGACGGAAATAGTTAGGAAAGAAATGCCCCAGACTATTTTTCTCGCAAAATGTTTGTGCAAAATGTATGAAATTTACCCCCCCCCCCAAAAAAAAAAGGGGGGCATTATTTACACATTCTACTTTTTTTCAGTCATCTCTGTCCTGTTATATGACGCAGTGGCATGTCATCACTGACTGTATAAGGTTTTGTCTTGCTAAAGTAAAGTCTTTCTTCCCAACACGCGTAGTATCCTTTTTATTCTCAAAGCTTGTCAAACGGAGTGGATTTTAAGTGGGGGGAAAAAAGGAAAATGAAAATCAAAGAACCAGACTGGAACTATACGGTGAATGTCAAATTACACTCCAACTAGTTCACTGATTGCTTCCATTATGTTCTTACTTTAGCAAGTTCGTGCATTGTCGCGCTGGAGAAAGTTCTTTTGCATGAGGAGAAAGTGGGAGGTTGAGTTGAAATAACTGAGTGTTGAGTTTTCTCGTCCCCCTTCTCCTTGCTTTATCCATTTTCGAATTCCTTTAGCTTTTTTTCTTCAAAACTTGGTACAATTTTTTTTTAAAAACCCATAATAAAAAAAAAAATATCTGTATGTCTGGTTTGTGATGTGCACCATTTTATGTTTCTTTCAAAAGTGTTAAGAAAAACTTTCTGAATGCCTCTCTCCAGAGAAAGCTCGGTGTTTGTCTCATTTCAGTACTTCACATTGCAAAAACCACTAATGAGAATTTGTGTGAGTGTGTGTGTGTGTGTGTGTGTGTGTGTGTGTGTGTGTGTGTGTGTACGTGTGTGTGTGTGTGCGTGTGTGTGTGTGTGCGAGTTGAACTTACAGGTTTTGTTTCTTGTTTGTATTTTTCGAATCCTTGTTTAGTTTTGAAATACGCAGTGGTATCAGCTATTTATAGATTAATGTATTCTCAAGAAATGCTTTTTCACAAGCTGAATGTGAATGTGCGAAGATGGCTTGTAGAAAAAACACTCTTGTTGTGAGATTACGTTTTCTATTATGATTCCGAGTAATAGAAACTTGTTGTGGAAAAAAAGATCTACCTCAAATTTCACACAATGCACCCCCCCCCCTCCCTTTTTTTCCCCACGAAATACAAACCACACCCACAATCACTTGTGTCAAGATGAATGCTACTGCCAGACAACCTTCTTCATTGTAAAGAGACAATGATGCTGTTACACACAAGACTAAATATACTAACTAAGCTGTTTGGATTCAGGCACCTCCTTTTTTAATATCCATACACATTTGACAACACAGACTGATGACATACACTATTGGTAAGTTTTGCGCTGCGTAAGCGCAGTCGATAGGAGACTCAATTTCAAATCCAGCTGCGATTCGCTGCAGCCAAAAGTTGGTGAACAAAACCAGACGTTTCCCGGGGTTCACCCAGCCTCTAGAAAATGGTTACCAGAGTGACACTCTGGGGTAAATGGAAAATGTCGCTGTAGCTACAGAGTTACTAAATACTTCTGAATACTTTGTTTAAAAAAAAAAATGAGCTTACTGACTTGACATTAATGTAAAAGAGCCTTGGTGTGACTCACGTAGTTACTAGTTCGAAGTCACCATCAAACACATTTCAGTATGGGACTAACATTCGTGTATGAATTGTAATAGCATAGGGATGCATTTTCTGATGTGAAATACTAAATTGTTTAAATTGTATTGTGGAAATGCTAAGCAAATATCTTTTCACTTACTAGTAGACAAAAACAACAACATGTGAATGGTTTTCATTTGAACACAAGTGGGGTGGGCGGGGGGGGGGGGGGGGGGGATGCGAGCTTTGTAACAAAGCGCTCAAGCCGTTTGCATCGCGCTCTGAAAGTCATGACATTTTTTAGGATAGTGCTGTTTAGTTCACAAGTCTAGATTTTGAGAAGATCACTGGGTGTGGTAGTTGGAGCTATGGCATTCTTTGATTATGTGAGGCTTTTTCTAGCGACTTGGAAGTCTGACCCGCATGAGATTAAACCCTGTGCAGTAAAGTAGATCCTCTCGACTTTGAATGTAAATTTGTTATATGATAGTAAACGTATACATTTTGCAGGGAGTTTTCTTCTCCGCACAAAGAACAACAATTTCCTTCCAGAGTCACTAACAGCTGGCTGCAATAAACGACCAGGAACAGACGATTATTGCTTTGAATCAGGTCTGAATGTGCTTTCAATAATTATTTTTGTTTGTTTATTCTGCAGCGAGATAAGCCGCACATTCACATAAAAGTCAATATTATAAAGAAATATACAAGAACAATAATAGGTGACGCATCGCTTTTCTCATCACGAGGTACATAGGATCAATGGGGCTATTCTTAAATCATCCAGGATTAGACAGGTACCATGTTCAATATTGCACCCACAGCCTTTTTTATCCTGACAATTTCATCAGTACCATATTTAAACTTTCGACTGATAATGGTAACTATTACATAATAATGAAATGATATCTGAAAGGAGCGGGATTAGAAAGGCAGAATGTTAGACGAGGCAGCATACTTTGTTCTTAAAGCTATAAACTAAAGTGTGTTCGTTCGTTTGCTCGTTTGTTCGCGCCTCTATCTGGGAGGTCAGGTCATTGGCAAAAAAAAAAAAAAAATGTTAAACGCTCACCAAATTCCACATTTCAATTCTATTAGAAGTATGAAGTCAGGAATATAAAATAATTTTGTGTCTATGTCTCGCAGGAGATGCTCGCGTAAACCAGAACCCATTTATCGCAGCCATGCACACAGTCTGGCTGCGTGAGCACAACAGGATTGCTAGAAAATTAAAGAGACTGAAGCCAGGTTCCTCCAATGAGGAAATATTTCAGCTGGCCAGAAAAATTGTTATTGGTAATTGCTTCCTTTATGGTGCTGAATGCCTGAGTAAAAAGGTCTTAGTTTTCTATATTATTATGGGACATTTGGGTTAGCTTATTTTGCTTTTTTGCCGGTATTATCAATTTATTTTCATGCTTTATTTAATGCTCCGACTTCGTATGTATGTGTATACATCACTGCTTGTTGAAATAAATTTCAAGAACCGACATAACATCACTTGGGGTATTCCTGTCCCATTCTTCTGCAGCCAACGAAGAGATCCAACTCCGATATCAAATGAACTGGGGTTGTTTGTTCGTTTTGACTTTTCTATAAGAGTGGAGTACTAGCCAGATCCCACGGTTACTCCTCGTTGCACCATTCAATTCAGATGGTGATAGTATAATTGTATCTCTTGACAAACTAGCTGTGTATGCTAGAGGTCAATTAATGCGTGACAATATGCCTATTGTCAAGGTCCTTTGGAAAGGAACAGGACGGAGGCTCAATTAGATCTCTGTTTTTATCATGTCCCTGTTGATTATAGTGAACACTCCAGCGGCACTATCAGATCTCTGTAATATAACTTTATCTTCATGCTTTTTCTACAGAGCTGAACATGTCCGTGTGCGTATACACCATTACAGCTTTTTGTGTGCTTTATTTAAAATTCAGAATCTGTATGTGTTTAAGTATTGACTTCAGTTTTGTGTTTATGTTATAAATATGTCTTCTGTTGAATTATGTTCCTAATTTACCAAGCAATGAAAGATGATTTCCTTGTGTCCGGTTAAAGCAAATGCAGACATCAACCGAAAATTGTCAGCTCAAAAGCGTGATTTCATAAGCAGAAGTGACAAGGATTCCACCTCAAAACTACAGCTGAGTGACCTACACGTGACCTCCGTGCACAGGGAAGGAAAGACAGCCTCGAAATAGTGCGCTTACACCAAGTGAACAGTTAATAACAAAAAAAAAAAGGCGGGGTGAGGGGAGGGGGTTAAATAAGCTTTTTTTTACAGTCTATGAGGGGATCAAGTAAAAGTAAAGGACCCTTTTCCACGCCTTTAGGTGTATAGGGCATACAGGACTAGACCTATATTTATAGACCAACGGTACAAGATGAGTGATGGGGTCAGCATCACGCCGGCCGCCTCTACTTTCCGGGACTGCACACGGTACCCACTCAAGGCTGGGTCAACCTAGGATCGAGGGAATCAAGTGCATCAGCCCTATTTACGTGCGTTATAATAACAGTGGGCTGAATGGTAAATACAATATATATGATGCAAGGTGGTATTTAAAAAAAAAAAGACCTGAAAAGATCACTTATATACTAGAAAGAGAAGAAAACAGGCATTGGTGTGGAATTAGCTTTATCTTCAACACAAATGCACACCGACATCTACTTTTCAAATTTCTGAGGAAGCTAGACATAGGATCTTATATTAAGGAGAGGAACGTTTGACATTATCGTGTTGTTTATTTACTCATGCAATGGTACCAGCGTTTCAGATTCGAATCAGTTCTTATCAACTAGAATCTGATTCTACGTACTAACAGCGGTAGCACAGTATTTGAATACTTGCCAGCCCTCGTAATGACCTTTAATTAGTATTCCTAGCAAGAGTGTCACATACCGCTCTTGTCGCGTGCCTGATTTAGGGATTTCTCCTTATGAACCAACAGCACTCTGAAATAGATAATGTTGAGGCGAAGGCTCGTATTGGTCTAAGAGAGATCTTGTGGCCAATATACGCTCAACTTATTTCAGGAGTACGGCAACTCAAGCTCTGGCACTACAAAATATCTAATATTCCTAGGCACACTTGGCTGGACTCCCTCCCCTCCACCCCCTTTAAAAAGATAGCCTCAAGGCTATGATAGCATACTATCATAGCCATGTTAACACAGATTACACTTACTAATCACACAAACAGCAAAGCTAGACAGTTAGAATAGTGAAACAGGGACACCCAAGTCAGCCATGAAAATTTCTGAATGGATGTAATAATTTCAACATATATACATAATTATAAAGACAATCAAGATGGTTCCCAGTGACTTGATTTCTGGAACTAACGTCGAAGATATGATGTAAAAACAGCCATACAAATGTCAGAGAGTTCAGGAATCATCATAGTGCCTATGGGTAGACATGTAAATAGAGCATGTTGTATGTCATCTCTGATGTTACTTATCCAATTTGGTAGGTAACTTCTCCCCCTCAGTCCATGATGATTTGAACAGGCTGACTCAATAGACTGCTTTTCCTCTGGTTGATCTGGTTAACACTGATCTTCTCCCATATGATAACAAAGGAACTATGCTGGAACCCAACAAAGCTCCCGAAGAAGGCTTCCTTGGAGTGATGACACTGGTGGCCTGCAACAACTGTCTGCAGCCACTAGAACTCACACACAAGCTCCGGTCATGTTGAAGTTGTGGTAACAATAGGAAGGATTTAAGGGCAGGTTTGGTGATAGGGGTTGTATGGGTTGGTGACTGTTAGCTGGACTGTGACTCGTTTGATTGACTTCTAAGGAGGTATCATCCTGTCAGAAAAGAACTCAGAATTAGTATTCATCTTAAGATTCACACACCAAGCTCAATTTATTTCCCTCTACCCTTCTTAGTCACTCAGAGGATAACTCTCAAAAATAGGAGACAATTTTCTCTTCATTTATCTGTCTGTAAGTCAGTACAAGAGATAGGAGACAAGGTACACGGTGGAGATAGATAGACACTACTACACATAGATCATCCTCTCTCCGCCTTCCTTTCTGTACCCGCAGACATGCATTCTATCCCATTCTTACATGCATATTTTATACCTCGGCAATCTGCCCACTGCACGCCCAGTGTAGTTGTGCTAAAAATATCCTCTGACTCAGAGCGCCTAGCTGGCCGAAATGCGACCCAGTTAAATATGTCTGCTAGTCGACACAAACTCCGTTGTCTGGTTAGAGAATAATTAACTTGCTGGGTTTAATATCTTTGTAATTGTGTGGGTCATGTAAAGCACAAACTATTAGCCTGCGAAGGGAAAGGTTTGATTTCAGGGGCTTGAGTGTCTGGACACCAAGAACAGCCTAGTTCTGTGCGGTCACACAGCTGAGTCTCCCCTCCCTGTAGTAGCGGCTAACTTTATAGAGACATATTTCATGGTACTCGTAAACTATATTCAACTTACCATAGCTTAGGAATTCTTTAAAGATTAAACTGTTATTTGAATGCGCCAAGATTTAGTTGAGAAGTTGAAATACGTCTAGACGCCTCAGAGGTCTGGCAAAAGAATGACCCCGCCAGATTTTGCTTTTCGTCTCTAGAAAAAAAGTCCTGTATTAGTGCCCCAAGGAGTAAAACGGCTTCCAGGAATTCGGAATATTATTCCAGAGAATATATATCCCACAGTTGCAAGTCTTCTCACAACAACTAGAGGGTCTAAAAATATTTATTCCACCAGATAGAGGTATACATCAATAAGAGGGACTATATACCCACTGGAGGGGTTTAAATTCAAAATGTGACCTGCCCGCTAGGGGCGTCAACGTCACGAATAGTCCAATGTGTAGGTTTTGGTTGTTTACTCCGTGACAAAGAGGAAGTTTGTAATTGTCTCTAAATCGCAGCTCTGGATTCTATGTGTGCCAGAAATGTAAAATGACGGTATCGGAAATCGGGTGATGGTGTTGATTAAATACAAAATTGAACAGTATGCCCTATGAGCCAAAAAGAATAAGGTCCTTTACATTGTTTGTGGTGTCTCCACACAAAAAAAAAAAAAACTTTCGCGGATGGGATACGTGTAGCCACTGCTGTCTTTGAGACGATTGCTTGATGAGATCACCAGCAGTTCCACAGCTGTACTCTTATGCCATTGCCTGGTTCCAAGAGGAAGGTCTTTTTCGTAACTACCCGGGTCAAAATGGAAGGCTACTACGTCAAAGACTGTGAAACGGGTTCACTCTCCTGTATGACATAGAGCTGTATTTTACACTTTCCTTCTTTGCTCTGTTTTCGCCTGACTGTCTTACAATGTTTTCGACTGCGTTTTAAAATTATAACCTAAATTTGTTTTAGTTAGATGTTTCCATAAATGTGTTTATATATATATATATATATATATATATATATATATATATATATATATATATATATATATATATATATATCTATATATATACATAGTTACATATAGCTGTGCAGGAATATTTACAGCAAAGAACCAGCTCATCACATACAACGCCTACCTGCCACACATTCTTGGTCGAGATGCCAAGCGCTGGGAGCTGTTGTCATACAAAGGAAGGAGTTTTTACAATCAAGACTTAGACCCCAGCATTCTGGTCGAGTTTTCATCGGCTGCCTTCAGATTTGGACATTCTACAATCTCTTCGTTTGTTCCCACTAGGAACGGCTCCCATTTATTGAGAAACCACTTCAACAGGTACTGCTTAACGATTATTTCATTTATTATAAGACCTAATGTTTCCTTTTTCCGATTTTTTTTTCCAAAGTGGGCATTGAATGAAATTTCACGAATTTTGCTAATTCTTGGCTTCAAAGGTTTCAGTGTGTTAGTATTTCTTTGAAGTTTTAAGTCTGTTCAAGTGACAAATTTAGTGCATTTGTTGTCTGTTGTTTTGTTTCTTTGATCTGCGTTATATTACTATTGTAATTGTTTGGACGGATGCAATTTTTCGGCTTTCCTGTAAACTACGGCCGGTAGACAACAGTATTGGGCCGGTTAGTAGGAGTTCTGTCCCTTGGCTACAGTGCAATTACGGAGTGGAAAAGGCACGAATCACAACACAAAGTGACGTCGACATGGCTGCTAGAACTAGACCACGTGCCGCGACTCACATTAGCTACCACGGTCATGCGACGTCACATTTAGCAGAATTTCAATGGCGCCACTGCCACAAGCAGCACATTGTCGGCCATTATTTAAAACTCCTGTCTGAAAATTGTCACATATAGCGGCCGTCAGTATGGTTAAGTACTCGACGTTACATGTGTTACCCTAACCCAAAACCTAACCCTAACCCAAAACTTAACCCTAACCCAAACCCTATTTCTAACCCAAACCCGACCCTAATCCTAACCCTAACCCTAACCCTAACCCAAACCCTAACCCTAACCTAAACCCTAACTCTAACCCAAACCCGACCCTTACCCAGTAAAAAGTCAGTCAGTCATTGTACATGTACATGCAAGCCGGTGAGCACACATAGAAATACATACCCAAAGCAGGGCATAGTCGTTGATGAGTACGGAAGCATCGCTTCTGAGGTCGCGGGTGTTTAGTATTCTTTCAAACTTTTTCCCTAGCGATGCCGGTGTGTAAACACACTTACGGAGTGGTCACGTCAGGTCAGATGTAAGTGAAGTAAAGGACCCTTTTCCACGACTTTAGGCATTGTGGGCATGTAGGGCTAGACCTATTTTTTATGGACCAATCGGCACATCATTGCTGATGTGATCAGCATAATGCCAACCGCCTTTACTTCCCAGGACTTCACCTAGTACGCACTCAAGGCTGGGTACACCTGGGAGCCAAGATTACTTGTGAAAAGAGTCCGGCTCCACCAGCGAGCAAATCCACGAACTTCCGATCGGCATGCGAGCGTCTAGCTGCTACGCAAGGGCGACTACCCAGGTCAGATGTGTATTTCTATGTTTTTAAGATTTGTTTATACAACGGAACAACATCATGGTACAAGGGTAATAACCCATGAGTGCTCCTTGCTACTTCTAACTCAAGCCTTGAGTCCGAAGAATTTCAGTTCAGTCCACGAACTCCGTAGCACCAGCGAGGATCTTGGAATACTTTTGGTAGATTTTTAGTTCCACATTTTGCCCGAGCAGCGCCTTTAGGCTACTCTTTTCAATTTCCAAATGCCAAATATTTTTTGTTTTACATTCGCAACAATACACACATTTGTAAGAAGGCACATCAATAGGCCCAAATCAATATAGATTAAAACTAGCACAAGAAAGTGTAATGTGAAGTAACTGCGGCAGGCGAATTGCTGAGTACATCACTCATCATGATGGGCTGGATAGAATGGTACAGCTGGGAGTGACTAGGGGCTCTGTTCAAAACTACATGCTCGGAGAGAAGGCAAGACGGACATATAAGCTAACTGCTACTGGCACCATCAGTAATGGAATTCTTCCCTGTCTGCAGTATTCAGCTCAACACTAAACACTCAACACTCACCATCACAACTGAACACTCACCACTGAACACTCATCTATCGGGTACTGAGTGGTCTACCACACCATGAATCTAAGTATCATTTACCCGATGCAACAACTTTGTGCCCTTTGCTTTAAAAAAAAAAAAAAAAAAAGAACAAAAACAGCTGAACTGTAAATTCCAGACCTGGCTTGGTTCTTGACGATCTAGATGGAGTTCTGTCCGGAATGGCTGGACTGTCGAATATTCGTAAGACAAATATGCAGACCGTAGACAGAAACATTGGTGAGTGAAATAAATTTATAACAAATCATGGGATTATATTGTTAAGGCCATGTCACTTACCCACTGTCACATGTATTACAAAAAAGGCATACGCAATAAATTTGACAATAAAGACACCATTTCTTTTAAAGCATCCTGTTGATCCTTAAGTGCTGAAGTTAAACATTAAAGCCTCTCTACTAATTCTTCTTTGAACGCTATTCGGGAGTCAACAACTATATATTTTACAATGAGTGATAGGTAAGCTTCTTATCCCTCCATTGTGCAGGCGACACTTGTTATAAAGAGTTAGGCCTTTAAGTGGACAGTAGACAAAGAAAAGATGCTGGCGTTTCAAAGGACACACTTTGACAAACACTTTAAACAATATAACTAGAATGTCTTTGCCCAGGAACCCACAGAAATAGAAATAAAGTCACACCAAAAAGACATCTAGAAACGAGCTAAACCATACAGTTTAAAACGGGTGTAGGACATGGAGTGAGCTGCATGCAATATCAAATGATAACAACTTGGCGTGAATTGGGTTAGGGCCTATTCACCATCGGGATAGGAGGCAGAAGAAGAAGTTTGCCATTGCCTCTAAATGGTCCGCTGTCGATACCACTGTTGAAACCAACGCAAGACGTTTTGCTGTAAAACAGACTGCAGGGTGGATCGAAATTGACACCATCGAAGTACGAAGCAAACTGCAAAACGGTATCGCAACGCCTAGGCCACAGACGGACAGACGGCAACCGAGACATAATGTTCTCAAAATTAGAAAATCCTAACCGTCACGGTACATGTGAACAGCACTAACTAAATCTTCAGGATCGAAGACCCTCCCCCCCCCCCCCTTGCCCCACAATACCCTACACTGCAAACAGTGGTAGGAACATGAAACGAACTCAGGTCCACCTCTTCCCAGCTACACACTTATGAGTGACGAAATCAGGCCAGGACACTGATTGGATGTTCATTCATGCCTGTTAACCTTTGAGACGCGTAAGTTAAAATAGCAGGGATGTCAGGTTGGTGCGACGTTGTATTGTCCTGACGGTCTTACCGGCAACCATGCATGCTCTATATTACACAATGCAAACGGTTGTAACGACCCCGTATAAAATAAAACTGGTTCTATTCCCAACCTCCCTACCCCACATATTCAACCTAGGTCCCACGAGAGAGCCCATTTTACACCCCTTTAACGTAGACCATCCTGACCAATCATCAATGACATGTCAGCTAGTGTGTAAATAGGCCGAGCTGGATCTGAGTTCCTTACTAGTTCCCAGTGATAAATTCAGGCAGTTACAAACGTTTTTATACTATTCTAAAATGGAAGTTATCTAAAATGGGAGTTATCTAAAATGGGAGTTATCTTCGTGTTGTTGACAAACTGGTTGAGTATTTTTTTTCTCTCCCCTTTTCAGTTGAAGATGTTTCAAAATTCCTGTTTCTGAACCAGGCCACTGGTCGAGGCCTTGACCTTGCTACCATTAATATCCACCGTGGGAGGGACCACGGTGTGCAACCTTATGTGAAATGGAGGTCATTTTGTGGTCTTCGTCCACTGACCGGATTTAATGATACAGAGGCATTGGGTCCCTTTGCTAATGAATTAGGGACAGTGTACAGGTAAGATGTACACACACATTATGAATGGCTGTATGTATGTCTGTATGTATGTCTGTGTGTATGTGTGTATGTAAGTCTGTGTGTGTATGTGTGTGTATGTGTGCGTGTGTGTATGTGTGCGTATGTATGTGTGTGTGTGTATGTGTGTGTGTGTGTACTACGTATGTACCTATGTATGTATGTATGTATGTATGCATGTATGTATGTATGTATGTATGTATGTATGTATGTATGTATGTATGTATGTATGTATGTATGTATGTATGTATGTATGTATGTATGTATGTATGTATGTATGTATGTATGTATGTATGTATGTATGTATGTATGTAAATATGGATGGATGGATGGATGGATGGATGGATGGATGGATGGATGGATGGATGGATGGATGGATGGATGGATGGATGGATGGATGGATGGATGTAAACGCCGTCTCAAAACTACTACTTCTGTGGTAGTTTCTGAGTCGTTAGGGAACGACGGGCAGGGTGTACACCACTCGCCTGAAGATGCCCATGACGTTGACTGCGGAGGCGCACTTTTGATGATTCCCGAGGAAGTGCGTTCAAAGATCAGGTTCCCACCTGCGATCGATAAGGTGTCGTGATGCAAGTTAGAAGGTACATTATGTGAGAAACTAATTCATGATTTAAAAAAGAAGTCGTTGGGTGACAAGCTTACAAAGTGTGATAATTTAATATTTGAGCACTGTTCCCGCGCGTTTGGGACAGTGGAAAGGGTGCCGCCGAGCGTCAAGCAGAATACAGACAGGAGACAGAGGGACATTCTGAAGTGCCGGGCAGACAAGAATACACTCAGCAAACGGTTCAAAGCCGCTACAGGCAGCAAACGGGAGTGGCTGCATGAAGTCTTTTTGCATTTAAGAAACAGACACAGTGCCCTCTGTCGCGCTGAGCGTTTCTGTAACAACAAACGGAGAACCAAAAGGGAGCGAGATATATTCTTTAGGGACCCTTTCCAGTTCGCCCGAGGTCTATTTGAGCAAGCGAAGTCTGGGACTCTGGTTGTCAGTAAAAAGGAGCTTGAGTCACATTTACGCAAAATGTACTCTGAAAAAAAAGAAGAATGAGCCTCTAGATAACAATCCAGAGATCCTTTAAGGCCTTAAGCAGCCTGAGTTGCCGAAGGTATAATTTAAAGTGATACCTCCCTCTTGGTCTGAGGTTGAGGAAGTTATGAAAAGAGCAAGCGACAAGTCTGCTCCAGGTCCGAATGGTGTTCCGTACGTTCTCAACAAGCGTTGTCCGAAAGTCCTACGAATGCTTCACCCGGTCCTGAGGTTAGCATGGAGCCGAAAACAGGCCAACGAGGTCTAAATTCCCAAATAGCAGGACTCGAAGAGTCTTTCCTAATTCAGGCCTGTCTCGCTGTTGAATGTTGAGGGTAAAATATTCTTTTCGGTCATGGCTCGCCGGCTCACACAGTATCTGATGGCAAACAAGTACATCGACACGAGTATTCAAAAGGGTGGTATCCCGGGCATTCCTGGGTGCCTTGAACACGCGACCATGATTTGGGAGTCTATTTAGAGAGCCAAGCATGAATTGCACTTTATATGGTTGGACCTCGCCAACGCCTATGGGGCAGTTTCCCATAGACTAAGGTGGCAGGTCCAATTCATGTGGCAGGCCCTTCACATGTTTCACGTACCAACACAGATCAACGAAATGATCGAGCAATATTTCTCTAAGTTCGCTATGCCTTTCTCTACCTCGACGTTTACCACGAGATGGACTGAGCTCCAAGTTGGGATAGCCATGGGGTGTACGATCTCCCCAATACTCTTCGTTACGGACAAGGCCTTCAAATTAGGGACTACTGGATGCCACCACTACGTGCATTTCTGGATAACACGACTATAACAACGAGCAGTGAGGAATCTGCCCGCACGATTATGAAAAGATTGGACGCGGTGGTCCAATGAAGCGGTATGCAATTCAAAAAGCAAAAGTCGAGGAGTGTCAATCCTAAAAGGTAAGGTGGCGACAAACAGTTTTACGGTGGCAAGGAATAAAACCCCCACGGTTCTAGAGGAACCGGTGAAGAGCCTTGGTCTCGTTTGCGATTCAAAGTTATCTGATAGAGCGCAGGTCAGGCGAATACGCGAGTCACTGGCTACAGGCCTGCTCGTGATCGAGCGAAGCTGGCTGATCGGGAAGTTCAAGGTCTGGTGTCTCCAATTCATGCTGATTCCAAAGCTTCTCTGGCCGCTGTTAGTCTACGAAGTGACAATGACTGCAGTGGAGACGATGGAGCGGAAAATCAACACAGCCATGAGAAAGTGGATTGGTGCACCGCCTTGTCTGACTGACGTGGCTATGTATTGTAAGAAGGCTAAGCTGGTACTCCAGTTCAAATCAATAACCGAAGAGTTTAAAGTCGGCAAAGTAAGACTCGCCATGCTCTTGCGCGAGTCTTCAGACCCAAATGTCATCGCTGTCCAGCCCGCTCCAAAGACTGGTCTGAAGTGGAAGGTCCTAGATTCGATCAAATCTGCCCAGAAGTTATGGGTTACACTCAAACCGACCGTCGAGGCCTAGGTCACGGAAAAGTCAGTTGGTGGTCCAAAGCCGCAGCGAAAGAGCGCCGAGACATGGTGATACAGCAGATTAGGGACAACGAAAACGAGGTTAGGGTTCAGAAAGCAGCACAGAAGTCGCAGCAGAGCTATTGGATCAGCTTGGAGAGCACCTTGCGAAGAGTACTTACATGGGGTGAGATCAAGCGAATGACCCCGCTGCGAATGAGCTTTATCGTTCGTTCTGCGTACGATGTATTACCGTCCGGTGTCAATATGGTAAAGCGGAGTGCGGCTAACTACCCGGCATGCCCGCTGTGCAGAGCTAAGTAAATGCTCGAGCACGTTCTGTCCGCGTGCAGAAAAACCCTAGGTCACGGCAGATACACTTGGTGCCACAACAAGGTGCTAAAAGAGTTGGCAGCCGTTGTGGACCAAGCTAGGATGAGGGCCAACGCGAAGGCCAGTCCTACAATCGTCCCCATACACTTCCTTAAGGCTGCGCTGATTCACACAGGTAGATTCGACAAAGTTGCATACGCTCCATTTATGCTAGACTCTGCGAGGGACTGGTTACTGGCAGTTGACCTGCCTGGCCATGAAAGGTATCCTGAGTTAATCTGGAAGACTTGCCTGAAACCTGATATAGTTCTCCACTCAAACGTCAGCTCATCCTGATTGAGCTAACGGTGCCGTATGAGTCGCTAATGGACGAAAGCCATATGTATAAGCTTGAGAAATACAGTGACTTAGCAGCCGGTCTGAGGAGGGACGAAGCGTACACAGTAAGAGTCTTCGCCGTCGAAGTAGGCGCAAAAGGTCTCGTTTCCACTTCACTCTACAATGTGATTAAAGAACTAGGTTAACGAGGTAATAAACACAAATGGACACTTAAACAGCTGGGCGAGATTGCTGAGAGGGCCTCGAGCTGGCTCTTTACGCAACGGAACAACGTAGGGGACGGGCCTCGGTGAGCTGGTCCGGGTGTCTAGTGGAAAAAAATGTCTTATCCCTTAAAGTCCATCGTGTCCGAATTGTCTATCAGTGTCCTTCTGCCACCTGCCAACAAAGTTCAACACGTGTCCGGTAAACCAATCGTAAGCTTGCCGCTCGGTCGTCCCGGTATGGAGACTGCTTTAATTATGCTACCGCAATGACTTCTTATCTTACAGTACCTTTTGAAAAATAACCAATTTGTCTTGTCCCTGTCCGAATAACATCCGGTAATACGTGCAGCAGGGGAAACCAACCCTGAGCTTCATGAACTCAGGTGGGCCCACTCTCTAAAAATGTCTAGGAGCTCGTGGGCCGAAACATTTGTCGACTAGAGGTTACTTCTACTGATGATTGGTAGACCCCTGCTGTACATGCTCCCCTGTGGAGTTTTTTCTTTCTTATTGTCTTATCACCGTCAATCAGTATGTCTGTTACAGACCGTCGCTTTCGTCCCGTCACGCTCACAGTATCTCTTTCTCTAGCCAGTTCTTCAGCCCAGTGCGCTTTGAAAACCGTTGCATCTTTCTTCGTGGATGCATGCTTCTGTCTCTTTTTCCTAAAACTGTACCCTCATCGGTGTCGCCTCCCTGAGACCAGTACTTTTAACATGGCCAAAATATCTCAGCTTTCAGAACAGGATGTTTATGAGCCAGTTCTCCTCGAAGGTCAAATCATTTATGATGTCGGTGTTTTGCTTCTTCATGTTTCATGGTTTGTTTTGAAAAGAAATGTTGTTATTTTTTTTTTTTGACTCACACAATTCATTCAAGGAGAAATATCAAACTAATAAAGTGATTCCCAAACTGTTTGCCGCAGCGCCCCGGGGAGTCACGACGTCTTCACAGGGGCGCGCGCAAAATATTCGAAGATATTCGCAGATATTTGTTTTGATCTCTAACATATGAAGAGTCATACTTTTACTAAGGTTAGGGCGCCATGGAAAAATTGTAATTTAAAAAAAGGAGAGACGACTGAGAAAAATTTAGGAAACACTGATCTTACGTATTCAAGTAACTGAGTTCTAACTTTAAACAATCAGCTCAACACAGAGTTGCTATCTTTCTGTCACGGAGTGAACAACCAAAACCTACACATTGGACTATTCATGACGTTGACACCCCTAGCGGGCAGGCCACATTTCAAATTTAAACTCGTCCGGTGGGAATATAGTCCCTCATATTGATATACACCTCTATCCGGTGGAACAATTATTTCTAGACCCTCTAGTTGTGTTGAGAAGTCTTCATTTTCAAACTTGCAACTGTGGGATAGATATTCTCTGGAATATATTCCGAATTCCTGAAAGCCTTTTTACTCCTTGGGGCACTAATACAGGACTTTTTTTCTACAGACGCCAAGCTAAATCTGGCATGGTCATTCTTTGCCAGACCTCTGAGGCGTCTAGACGTATTTCAACTCTCTAATTAAATCTTGGCGCATTCAAAATACCAGTTTAATCTTTGAAGGATTCCTAAGCTTGGGTAAGTTAATTATAGTTTACGAGTACCATGAAATATGTCTCTATAATGTTCGCCGCTGCTACAGGGAGGGAAGATTCAGCTGTATGACCGCACAAAACAAGGTCGTTCTTGGTGTCCAGACACTCAAGCCCCTTAAATCAAACCTTTCCCTTTGCAGGCCAATAGTTTGTGCTCTACATGACCTACACCATTACAAAGATATTAAACCCAGCAAGTTAATTATTCTCTAACCAGACAACAGAATTTGTGTCGACTAGCAGACATATTTAACTGGGTCGCACGTCGGCCAGCTAGGCGCTCTGAGTCAGAGGTTATTTTTAGCACAACAACACTGGGCGTGCAGTGGGCAGATTGCGGAGGTATATGCATGTAAGAACGGGATAGAATGTAGGTGCGGGTGCAGATAGAAAGGTGGAGAGAGGATGATCTATGTGTAGTAGTGTCTATTTATCTCCACTATGTACCTTGTCTCCTATCTCTTGTACTGACTTACAGACAGATAAATGAAGGGGAAATTGTCTCCTGTTCTTGAGAGTTATCCTCGGAGTGACTGAAAAGGGTAGAGGGAAATAAAGTGATCTTGGTGTGTGAATCTTAAGATGAATACTAATTCTGAGTTCTTTCCTGACAGGATGATACCTCCTTAGAAGTCAGACAAACGAGTCACAGTCGAGCCAACAATAACCAAACCATACCATCCCTATCACCAAACCTACCTAAAATCCTACGTATTGTTACCACAAATTCAACATGACAGGAGCTTGTGTGTGAGTTCCAGTGGCTGAGAGACAGCTTTTGCAGGCCACCTGTGTCATCACTCCAAGGAAGCCTTCTTCAGGAGCTTTGTTGGGCTCCAGCACAGTTCCTTTGGTCTCAAATGTGAGACGTGTCAATGTTTGCCAGATCAACCAGAGGAAGAACAGTCTATTGAGTCAGCCTGTTCAAAGCACCAAGGACTGAGGGGAGAAGTGACCTACCACACTGGATAAATAACATCTGAGATGACATACCACATGCTCTATTTACATGTCTACCCATAGGCACTATGATGATTCCTGAACTCTCTGACATTTGTATGGCTGTTTCAACATCATCTCTTCGACGTTAGTTCCCCAAATCCAGGCACTGGGAACCATCTTGATTGTCTTGATGTTTATGTATATGTGTTACAATTATTACATCCATTCAAACATTTTCATGGCTGACTTGGGTGTCCCTGTTTCACTATTCTAATTGTCTAGCTTTGCTGTTTGTGTGTGATTAGTAAGTGTAATCTGTTTTAACAAGGCTATGATAGTATACTATCATAACCTGGGGGCTATCCTTTTATAGTAGTGGGGGTGTCCAGCCAAGTGTGCCTTGGAATAGTAGATTTCCTGTAGTGCCAGAGCTTGAGTTGCCCTACTCCTGAAATAAGTTGAGCGTATATTGGCCACGGGATCTCCCTTAGACCAATACAAGCCTACCCCTCAACATTATTTTTTCAGACTGCTGTTGGTCCATAAGGAGAAATCATATTAATGAGGCACGCGACACGAGCGGTATGTGACAGTTTCTATGAAAACAAACTCTACACAAAATGGCATAGCTGTTCCTCTGGATTGCCACAACTTTCATTTTTCCAGTGATTGCTATTGGTTGTAAATTTACTATTACGTATCGTTTTTATTTGTCGATGTCTACACTGTTTCTGTCTTATTAGTGTGTTATTGACATAAGAGTGTTTTGTTATTTACAGATCATTTTGTACATTTTTGTTAAACAAAATGATTATCGTATTAGGTCCGTGAATGACATCGATCTCTTCACTGGAATGTTACACGAACCAGCTGACACTGGACTGGTCGGTCCCACGATTCGATGCATTTTGAGAATCCAGTTTTTCCGACTGAAATACGGTGACCGTTTCTTCTTTAATAATGATGAACCTTCTTCTGGTTTCACTAATGGTAAGTGCGTTTTAAGTTTTGTAGATTATATCTAAACTTGATTAGGCTGTCATGATCAGAAAGTCGGACAGCAAAGAGAAGCAAGAAGAAACACAGAGAAATAAATTATGTACTCACAGCGACTGTCGTCTTAACATCTTTTTAAGTTCCCGGCAAAGCAGCGCACAGAACACTGCTTACACAGTGCATAACTGGACTAACAATATTAATTGACCATAAGAATAACACTTTAAATATTATTGCAACTAAAAACATTTCAATATTTTGACATTCAAAGGCGTAGGGTATATTACAGATTAATCAATGTAAATGTTTTAACAATAGAGATAGCCTTCAAGTAGTCCCCATGTGGAATGCAATTTTTTGTTATTTCGAAGCCCCACCATGGCTTTGCCGGGCGCCTTGAATATAGCCGAACCATTGATATGGTCTAGCCATAGATAAAGGGTTTTCTGTGACCTCTCTACAGGTGATCCTCATCCATATGGTGGCACTTTGTGTCACCAGGTTTTTATTGCTTGTGTGATGTCCTGGTGGGGTACAACTACCTACCTACCAGAACGCCTTAACATTCGAGAAAGCTTTCAATATAAACATGGCAAGTTTAAAAAAAGTGTCAATAAATCTGACAACGCCATAGCGCGTCGAGGTAAACCCATTGTTATATGATATAATATATGTATCAATCGGCATTAGGTGGGCGATGTAGTTAACATCGTATCGGCTGCATTTACTTCTCCTGTCACCTCTTGGTACTATTCTTGAGCCAGGTTGTCCTGGAAGCCAAGTTAATGTTAGACATCAAAATCTGCCGATTCACACACAATACACTCGGGGCTGCAGGCAAGCATCCTGTGTCTTGACTTTCCTGGGTGTCAAACGCGTACCTTGTTTGTAAACGGTACTAGAAGGTAAAACTGTGGTGAACTTTAGGAAATGAAAATAAATATTAAGTATTAATACAAACATGTTGAAAATGTGAATGTTTGATATGAAAACTGATGGTTAAGTCTTTTCTCTGTATAGATTAACAGTGTCCATTTTACTAGAGGCAACTGTGCAGCGATTCCGTGCAATAAAGCTGGTCTACCAATAGTTTTAGTTGCCATTAGAGCAATGTTTGTTTAAAAAAAATTCGATACACACATTTCCAACGATGCACTCATCATCTAATTTTAAAGTTTACAGTTCGCACTGCACTGTAAAGAGTACGCCAGAAAGGAGATAACACAACAGGCGTCTTCCAGTCTTCCGCATAAACTCGTTAGACACGTGTTTCAGCTTCTTTACCTTCCTAACATTATCCCAGCGTGCACCTCGTCGTGTCTCGTCTCCTGAGTTTCGACTCTTTACTGTGCTTTTGAAACTTGCTGACAAAACAGCGTTCTGGTTATTACTACTAGCATATTCTTTGTTAATGAGGAGTGTCTGCTAGGAGTGTACACCTACTAGTCCAGGTAGCCAAAGAAAGGAAAGACACCATCTATATAGATATACTGGTGTTGAGTGAAGTGAGATCACCTGGTACAGATAAGAGTATGGTCAATGGTTTAACATTAGTTTATTGGGGTAGAGAAGATGGGAGACAAATGGAATGGGTAGGTATAATGAAGTCACCTCAAGTTGCAAAGTGTATGTTAGACTGGGAACCTACTTCAAGTCGTATGAACAGAGGTCGATACAAGACATGTCAAAATGACAATACAGCAATGCTATGCACCAAATTATTATGCTGAGGCAGACAATAAAGACCTGTTTTTTCGTGAACAACTGCAGGATGAAACTGAGAAGATTCCAAAAAAATGATTGATTGGAATAAGAAAGGGAATTTGAATGCTAAAGTAGGCAAAAACAATGTGGGTGTATAGAAAGCTTTGGAAAAAAGATTTCAACACAATGAATGGAGGTATACTTGTTGTAAAACCTAGTAATTGGAGGTACCATTTTTGCACACAAGGAAATTCATATATTAACTTGGAATTCACCAGATGCGGTGACCAATAACAAGACTGACCACCTCTGTATCAGCAGCAAATTCAGAACCATTTTCAACAAGAGTTTCAGTCTGAACTTAAAACAGATACAAGGTACTTGAAGAGTGAGGAAAGAGAACCGTGCGCTGATGATAAATGGAACAATATAAAGACAAATGTACTGGAGGCGGGTATTAGTAGTGCAGGAGTAAAGAAGAGTGAAAGAAAATCAGGGAAAAGTGATGACACCTGACAGTGCATTTAGAACAGGCAGGGCAGGAAAACTTGGAATATGTTATGCTAAGACAACACAAGATGACATTAGAGCTAAACAAGATTATAGGGAAAGAAACAAACAAGAAAAAAAGTGCTGCAAGAAAGATAAAAAATCATATGTTGTTAAACTGGCTGACGAAGGGGAAATAAGTTGGAAATAGTAAAAAAGTTTACAAGAAACTGTAAAACAACTAACTGGAATATTCAAACCACAAGGTGGTCCAATCAAAATCAAAGATAACACAATCCTCATATCTGATGCTGAGTAGAGGAACAGATGGGCAGAACATTTCAAAGAGACCTCAGCCAGGCCTGCGCCAGTAGATTTAATGAAGTCTGAAGAAGAGGCAAATAGGACCACACTCCCCAATAATAATGAGTTTTTTTTTTTTTTGTTACAATATATTAACAACCATTACATTCCGTAGCAAAAAACATGATGATAATATTACAACAGTAATGCTGAAATGCGTATATGAGACAACTATCCAACAAATGCTAGAACTATTTAACAAAGTATGGGAAGAGGAACCAGTCCTCGAACAATGCAAGAAATGAATAATTATGAAAACCCCTAAAAAACGGCGATCTTAACTGTTGCAATAAATGAAAAAAAAAATACTATCTGTTAAGTCAAAATATTTTTACAAAGTAATTATCACTGGAATTAATGATGCAGTTGATACAATCTTTAGAGAAGAACAAACTGGTTTTAGTGCTGGAAGAAGCTGTCAAGATAAAATAATTACACTAAGACATTTTAGAAGTTCTACCCAGCCTTACGTGGGTATTAGGTATAGTCCTGGGAAGTATAGGCCGTCGGCGAGATGTTGACCCCATCATCGTCAAGTGCCGATTTGTCAATAAAATATGAGTCTTTCCCTAAATGCCCAATACGTATAATGGCATGGAAAAGATTCTTTTACATTTCTAATGTAACTATAGAAGAACACATCGAGCAGCAAAAACCTCTCTTCCTGAATTTTATTGATTTTTAGAAGGGCTTCTACAGCTTGCGGCGTCCGTGGCTAAGGCGTTGCGAGTCCGACTTGTAAGCCAGCATACCGCGATCGAAACCCACTGCAGGCTGCGTGGATTTTTGTCGTGCTATGGGACGTCGCAGGTCGACCCAGCCTAAAATGGGTACCAGGATGGGCTGTCCTGGGAAAGTAAAGACAGCTGGAGTAATGCTGACCACATTACCCACAGAGTGCTGATGGTCTGTAAAAATATGGAACGCTCTGCCCATACGCCCGATGCGCCGAAAGGCGTGAAAAGGGATCTTTACTTTTTTTTTTTTTTACTTTTTACAGCTTACATAGCATTTTAGTAATGGGAATTTTGGAAAACTGTGGCATACCAGCCAAAACAATAGGCGTTATTAGAAATTGTTACAATGGTTCAGAATGTGCAGTGCGCAATGAAAATAGTCTAAGCGACTGATTTTTAGTGGAAACAGGTGAAACAAGGCTGCATTCTATCTCAATTGTTGTTTGGAGTTCCCAGTGACTGGTTGGTGAACACATCTTTCAAATGCATTACTGGCATTGATTTGGTAGAAAATAGACAACTAGAAGATCTGCATTTCGCAGATGATATTGTTCTGTGAGGTAAAAATACCAAAGATGTGCACAGACCGTTTGTCGTCAACAGCATAAAAAATACGACTACAAATAAATTATGAGAAAATAAATATATTAAAGATATTAATAACAGATAATGTAGATGTCATGTTAGAGCGCAAACCAATACAACTAACATGCTGTTTCACCTATGGTGGTAGCAATTGTGACTCTCAAGGAGATACAATGAAGGCAATTATGATACGCACTGGCCAAATCAACAACAGTCTTGAAAAGCCTTAACAAAATATGGAGCTCCATGTTATACAGCTTTGAGAATAAAATATAAATCTCAATTCTAATGTTATTTAAATTCTAAAATATGTCCGCAAAAGTGGGAGAACTAACTACCAAAGACATGTAACGAAAGATAAAATGCATTTGAAAATAAACACTGAGAAAAATCGTGAACGTAAACTGGGATGAATAATAAAAAAAAAAAAGAGGAATTCAGAGATGTGTCTGGACAAATACAAGGAGATATAATGGGAACACTCTCAGGCGAAATGAGCAAATAATTACAAAGCAAGCACAAAAATGGGAACATTCTGAGAAAAAGAGGTCGCCTAAAGGAAACATTATAAAAAACATTATTACGAGAAACTAAAAATGCGGCTCTGAACTCCATGTCAGAAATCCAGAGAGTTGTATGTAATAGAGCGGGTGGAATAATCGAATGTGAGCCCTATGTGATATCTAAAGTCGCAGAAACGATGATGATGGTTATTCAGTAGGTCAGCCTTGTTCATTGCTCGTCGGCTTTTTACTCTAGCTCTTCCTACAAGCCTACTAGCTTGCTCATTTTTTTCCCGCACACATGCGTACCCTAGCGCGAAAGTGACACGTATTTTCGCCAGCACCGACCGCCTCAGAGACGCCAACCAATGTCTTCGGGTCCAGCTCATATCTGTCTTCCTGCGAGTACGCACTGAGTCACTGACAATGCATTCGCGGGTGAAAGTCTGCCTTCCCCATCCTTGTTATTGTTTTGGTCGCTGCCATAGCCTCCAAATTCTGACTTCCTGTGGTCAAGGGGGGAAAAAGCACTAGAATCATAATTGACAACTCTCCTTCCAGCGTGAGCCCTGAAAGCCCACGGGCTTTTCATGTGACGCTGGTATTTATGCATGAATACACACATTTGTCGTGTACACTGTCAATTTT